AATCACAAGAGGGTGTAAATGTTTCACAAATATTTTCTAATTTCCCTACTTCCTTAGCTTCTTAAATGATTCCTTATTTTTCTAATTCTTTCTCCAAAGAAATCACTCTCTTTTTGCTATTTGAAAATGCTTAGCTAATGCAACCAATTCATCATGCTTCTCGTTATAAGAATCTTGTAACTAGTTAAAAGAAAAATCAAAATGAAAATAATATATTAAAATTAGAATTTGGTATTTGCATCATTAATTGGATCCATTAAGCACTTGTGAGCATGTTGTTGTTTGATGTGGAAAAGATGAGAGCGATCCTCTTCAATTTGCTCTCTTTCAGCTCTGTCTATAATTAATCTTTTGTAATAGTAGTAATCACCTTTCATTTTCTAGCACAGTTTTTGGAGAATCGTCTTCTTCCACATTCTTTTTTTTTTCCTTCAGAGTCTTCTTCCACATTCTTAGTTGCATGATTAGAAGCATATAAATGTTCAAGAGTATCCCAATATTCTTGTCATCAGAGCATTTTCTAATCTTCCCAAAATCATCTTCATTTAGAGCAATATAGAATACTTGCATGGTTTTAAGGTTTAAAGTAAAGAGTTTCTTCTTATGCTTATCTCAGAACTTCCTTAACCGGAAGTCGATATTGTTTTTGATAACATTCCACACATAAACATCAAGAGATTCAAGATAAAATTTCATTTTTGCTTTCTAAAAATCAAAGCATATACTATCAAGAAAAGGTGGCTTAGCTTGTTAATATAATGGCCTTCAAGAAGCATATTGCTGTGATCTAAACAAGCCATTATGAAAACTATTAGATTGTTAGATCCTTTTTGAGAACCTTAGCGATGATACTAATGTTAGATTGGCCGATCACCCAAGGGAAGAAAAGCTGGGTGATACTTAAAATTTTCTCCCTTCAAGTGTACACCCAACAAACTATGAAATGCATCCAAAAGAGGGATGAACAGAGGATAAAGATATGAATATGAAGAAGAGCAATACACAAGCTATTTATCTTAGTCCAACTAAAACCATTTGGCTTACATCTAATCTTTATGAACCTTCTAAGATTTTTCACTATATACCACAAGGTTGATCTAGTCACTCGTAAAGCCTTAAAACATCAATCTCAATCTTGCTTGTTTGATTTCTCTTCCCCTTACATGGGTAACCAAGAAACCCATTCAAAATTCCCACAAATCATGAGTCTACTCAAAGCATATAAAAATATCAATCACCTAAATGACTACACAAAGATTTCCTCACTGAATGAGTTAGTTGATACAAACATTGAAGCTCCAAGTGTAATTGAGAGTGTTTGATCAGGAATTTAAAGTATTTGAATCACTGTAATAATTTTTAAATGTAAAACTCTTCTCACTCAATTACAAATGATGGTTGTGCATATAACCATCCAATAAAAGGCATTATTTATAAGCTATTTTGTGGTAATGCTCAAGGTTGATGGATACAGATTAAAGGACAACAACTTTCAAAGGCCATAATTCTTGATTTAACTCTAAAGTGGGAAAATGACCTCTGGTTGTAAAGTTCTTGATGTCTAATTTCAAATATAACAAGATCCACTTCAAAATTATCTGTAGTTTAAGAGATGTGATCAAAATAGTGAGAAAATGTGAAAGCATTTTTCTACAGTATTTCAAAATTTAGAAGTCAAATATGAAAACTCATCTCTTTCATGTGAAATTCACTTTTAGTGAAATAGATGTCTATTAAAATCTATGTGCGATTATTTTCAAATAGAACAAGTTTCACATCAAAAGAAGTTGTAATTTGTGAGATATTATAAGAACATAAATCAAAGGTCAAAAGTGAAACATGAACAAAAGTAATTATTAGAGTTTGAAGGCAAGGGAAATCGAGTTCAAAGATAAACATGGATATAGGAGGTGGTGAACTCAAGTTTAGGAAGCTTAAACTAGAGTTTTAGCAGACCATGCAAACAAATAATTCAAAGAACTCGATTTAGAAGAAATTAAGCGTAGGTTTTGAAAACAAAAGATGAAAACTTGATTTCATTGAGGAGTAAAATTGATTTCAATTGCACAAAAACATGAACTCGAGTTTCTTGAGAAGAGGAATTAATCATAATAGAACAAATAGTCATCAAAACTAAATTTTGAAGAAACAGAGAGTGTGAACTCGTTTCTAAACTGAAAGGAGTTTATGAGATCAAAAGCAATTCAAATTATAGTTTGAAACAATAGTTCCCTTATTCCTTCGTATCTGTTTGTTTATTAGCTCCAACTTTTAACTTTCTTGCATCAATATGCTCTTGCATTATTTATTACATGTGTTGGAAATTTTGTTTGAACTATCTGGATATTACAAGAAGATACGGTATTTATGAATTATTTATTTTAAAAAATTGTGTTACAATTCAAAAAGGATTGGATCTAGGTAAGATGTTAATTCCTCATAATGTACACAAACCAAGGTTTGTATTCTCACAGAAAGAAATGCATATATTTAGTGCTCGATTGCATAGATCAGGCTAGTAGCATCAAGAACAATGGACAGCTACAACAATTAAGAATCTTGCTTTGTTTCCGATTCTCTCAATCCAGCCCTTAACGCAATAATCCCAATCAATAGAAAATGGACTCACAAATCTACCGAGCATGTTAGGTGAATCTCTCTATTTATCTATTCTCCAGTATGTCATTGGAGTGAGTCAATCTATGATTTGGTAAACTGGTTCTGAGATTTTGTATACATAGTATTTGAGGTTTCGCCCTTAACTATTTTTCCTATTTGATGGGGGGATAAAATGACTTTGTGTTTTCTACTTTAATATATAGTGAAAATTGCTTGGTTGTTATGTGTTAGCAATAAAATCATGATTTTTGGTTTAAGGTGCTGATTTTAGGTTTTGAAAGATAGGTCCTATGGTGTTAGCTCGTTGACATCAAATCCTGATTTTAGCTGGTGTAGTAGGATTTTTAACTCAATAATATAGTTTACATTATTCATGCCCTCCTCAATTGGTGGCAAATTTAAAATATTAAATTAGAGGGGGCAATTTTTTTAGGGTTAAATATCAATTTAGGCCCTGAATTATAGATTTAGAGGTCATTTAAATCCTAACTTTTAAAAAAATATATTCTGAACCTTAAACAATTAAAGTTAGTATAATTTGACTTCTACCGTTAACTTTCAACAAACATCCGTCAAATTTATTTGGAAAGAATTGCACTTTAGGCTCCAATTTGACAGACGTTTGTTTAGGATTCAAAATGCATCTTTTTAAAAGTTTAAGATTTAAATCGCCCTTGGACCTATAATTCAAGGTCTAAATTACATGTTAACCCTTGATAATATTACAAATTTCCTAAGATATGAGAAGAAGGAATTAAAAAAAGGTAAATGATGATGATGAGGAAACTACATAAAAGAAGGTTGTAAATTGTAATAATGAGTAAAGAAGTTTTTGGTAGAGATTATGTGGGTATAAATGAGATAGTGTCGAATTGACTAGTTTTGTTCTTGTTGAGTGGGGTTTTGATAAGCAATCAGTGGTAGTAATAGGAGTGTAACATAATCTTTCGTTATAAGCATATTTTCATATTTTTTTTCCTATTTGTTCTTTGGCGTAATGGAATCTCATAATAATATTGGTGAAAAAAATTATCATTTTTTGTTAGGAACAATCTAAAATAGATTTCTTTTCATACATTTTTTTTTCTATCTCTTTATTTATCATAAAGGCATTTGGTTTTGTTTTATAAATTTTCACGTTTATCGATCAATTCAAATCAAAAAATTTACACATGCCTTCAAAATCTTTTTAAAAATTGATATAACATGCAAAATACACGTTTTTTAGTTACTGTTGAATTATTATTGACTAGAGTGCATTTTTTAAAATACAAAAGGGTTAATATGCAATTTTGATCCTAAACTATAGGTCTAGGGGCGATTTGAATTCTAAACTTTTAAAAAGGTGTATGCTAAACTCTAAACAATTAAAGTTAGGGCAATTTGACTCCGCCCATTAACTTTTAACAAACTTCTATCAAGCCGGGCCTAAAGTGCAATTTTTTCTAAATGAATTTGATGAACGTTTGTTGAAAGTTAATGGTAGGGGTCAAATTGCTTTAATTTTAATTGTTTATAGTTCAAAATATACCTTTTTAAAGTATAAGGTTCAAATAGTCCCTGGATCTATAGTTTAGGGTCTAAATTGATATTCAATCCATTTTTTATTTAAATTCTTTTAAAAAGTTAATAATAATATAAATTTATAAATATGAATCATTTCCCATCATATTAAAATGGGGTGGAGATTAAATAATGGTTGAGATTTAGAAATTATTATTTATGTAAAATATATAATCTTTTTTAAATATGACAAACGGTTAGACCGGTAATCCTTTAAATTTATAAGAATAGGTATTTCATTCTTTTTCTTTTTTATCTTTAAATTTAATTTGATTTTATTTTATTTAAGTTAATGTAAATTTTAATTTAATATAAAGTTAATTTAATATAATTTAATAAATATTAATTTAAAATCTAAAGTTTTTGTTATTTTTTAGTTTTTCTGTAATTATTATGCGATGAATTTTTTTACCAATATTTTTATTTTATCAATAGTAAATGTTTAATATATTTATATATGATATCAAAATTTTTAAAATAATAATTATTTTATCATTTTATATTTTTATAAATTTTTTAATTTTATTATTTTCACTATTTATGTATATTTTGTGTTATTTATGTATATTTTGTGTTAATATAAGATCACTTGCTAACATACGTTTTTATCAACTTTATTTTTTTAGTCAACTTCTTCTCTCTCCCTAATTCTATTTAACATGGTAAGTTATTAAGATTCCTTTTAATTATTTGAAAAAATTGAAAAAATAAGTGTGAGAAAATTAGAAAAAAAAAATAACGGTGAAAAAATATAAAAATAAAAGTAAATTTATGAGTATAAATTAATAAAATAAATAAATAAGTAAATAAATTTTATAAAACCCGTTCCCGTGAGCAGCGATCCCAGTTCTCTTCGTTGACGAACAAGCATCCCATACTCCGTCGGGCGCCGTCCCCCGTTGTCAGCCCTGCGTGGTTGTTCTCGAGCAAGCCGTTAAGAAGGTTCGAACCCTTGGGCATTTTCTGCTCCCAAAATCCTGTGAGATTGATTTGTTCAATCTGGTGTTTTGAATCTATATTTGAATGTTCCCCGCGTCGTCTGTTCCCCGCGTGGTTGTTCTTGCTTTGTTTTAAATTTTTCATTTTAATTTGGCTTTGATTCTCGTTGTGTAATTGTTGAATATTGACACCTTTGAATTTGGGAATGTTTACATATTGAGGTTTTTTTTTTTTTTTTGGGTACTAGTTTTTGCTTGAATGGTGTGTGATTGGCTATTATACTCCTACCCTCTTTATTTTGATTACTAGCGACTTATATGATTTGGCTATAGTTGTTTTGCAATGTTGGATTTGTTGTCTATTGGCATTCCGTTTATTAATCTTTTTATATTATCATCAAATTTGGAAATTTTAAACGTACTTGTGATGTATGATCTTGTAAATTATTTGGCTCGAGTTGTGTCATAGTATCTGGAACAACTATGCATATTTCAAAGATTGCAGTGGAGGCATACAGGTCCGCCTATTCCCAATGATCCTTCTAGTTTTCACCGTGGTTGAAACTGGAGGGTAGGATTCATTTGGCAAGTTTGCATGATGTTTTACGTAATGGTTTGCATACTCAAATTGTATGCTTTTCATTTCATTTTTGGTTTACATATCATTCTTCTATAGCCATCTAGTTGGAAGTAAGAGAATAAGGTGTACATTAGTGTGATGATTTGATAATTATTTTTCCCTGTCAAATTTTAATTTCTATGAATTCTTGTACGTTCCTTGATTTATGTGTTAATGTTAAATTTATTAATAATTATGATTCTTATTTCTCTTTTGTTGATATGAACAACAAAAATGTTCTCTTCTGTTTGGGGCATTTGAGTTTTTAACTATGGTTAATCTTAGTGTGTTTTAGTTCCTGTTCGCCCTTCAGTATTTGAACCTTTGTACTTTGTACTTTTTCACATCATATTTGATAGCCAAAAAAAAAAAAAAGGGAGAAAAGAGAAAAGAAAAGGAAAGGAAAGGGATTCAAATCAGAAGATGTGTTCATGCTTCCCATGTTAGTGTTAATTGAGAATTTTTAAATATATTTATTTGATTTATAGGTTATAGATATTACCTGTGTTAGGATTTTCCTTTAGGTGGATGGAAAGGACAGATGTCACAAAATGAGAGTAAAAATCCTTTTAGTGATTTAAGATCTGCAATGCAATTGTAGAATCATCTCTAAATCTCAAGCTTTTCAGGTTTTTTGGACACGGTTGAGGTGAGGCACTGACCTATTATTGTCAGTGAGGCTCCTGTTTGCAGATAACATATCATCCACTCTGGAGTATGTGCCTTCTTCTTATGCTTTGTGTAGTTTACATTATCATATATGTGTTTCAATCAGTGGTTAAGGATTCATTTTCAAATTTGTACAGGCATGTTGTAGATGGAAGAAGGTTCCAACTCTCTACCTAAACATAAGTTATCCTGCACCAAGTGCTTTGATGCTCTCTGGTTTTGCTACTGTAATACCCAATCCAAAGATCATAAAATATTTATGCCTTTTCTTTATGTTAAGATTCTATATCTAATAAAGAATTTGATATTTATCTCTGCAGCCCCAGTCCACCAGATGCAGCAATATTACAGACTTGGTGTGCTTGATAACTGTCATCAGAAATGGAGTGCTCTTGCTGACTGCTTGACGCTTAAGACCAAGCGTGCTTCTGAGGTTCAGGTTAGTTTTTCTTTGCCACTGTCTTGTTAGCCATTGATAAGTTTACTACCATACAGACTCTTGTTACTTTGAGAAGAAAATGAACTTATAAGTACTTACATAATTCCATTTTGCTGAAATGATAATGTTTCCTCTAGAACCAATAATGCAGCGGGCCTTGGAATTAATATGCTGAAAATATAAGACATTGGGTTGAACTTGATCTTTACTTGCTCTACTTATGACCTGGACTAGACCTTGTACATATCTGGGATATGTGAACATCTCTTTTGGACTGTTTAGATTTAATATGGATGATGTAGATTTTTCTTTTCTTCCCCCCTAATGCCTTTATTTCCTTGAAGAGAGCAGAATGTAATAGGATATGTGCATAATTGCTCTTAGGTCCTTTGTCCAGTGTATTATTGTATGGTCTAGTGGCCTGAAAACAGGGGATGGACCTAAACAGCAATTTATGTGAAGATTGGCTGATCCATGCCCTTTCATGTGAAATCTCATGACATCATAATAGGATAAGAGAGCTAGAAATATAATATATGAAACTCATATTAGTGGTGGATCTTGTTGAATGTTAGCTTTTTAGGGCTTGTTTGGCATGTTAGAAATAATAAAAAAAAGAATAAACTAAATGTATTTATAGATGGAAAAGAACTTTAGTTCCTATTTACAAGAATAAAGGGGATATTCAGCATTTGTGCAAAGTATAGAAGGATAAACTTATGAGTCATACATTGAAATTATGGAAAAGAGTGATTGAACACAAGTTGAGACAAGAGATTGGTATTTTTGAGAACTAATTTGGATTCATGTTGGTGAGGGCTACAAAGCAATATATTTACTAAAGAATTTCTAGAGTAAAGGAAGATACTTACTTATGATTTTTATTGACTTGGAAGGGGCTTGTGATTGTGTGCCAATAGAAATATTTTGGAAGGCCTTGGAAAAGAGAGGTGTTCGTGTTGCTTATATCAAAGTTATATAAGGTATGTATAAGGGGACAATAACCAGTCTAAGAATTGGAGGTGAGACTAAGGATTTCCTTATAAGGATTGGCCTACTTTAGGGGTCAGTTTAAGTTTTACTTGTTTGACGTGGTTTTAGATGTTATAACTCAGTGAATAAAAGGGGAAATCCCCAAATGTATGTTTTTTGCAGATGACATAGTTTTCATTGCAGAATTAATAGAAGGGATTAACTCTAAATTTGAGTTATGAAGAAGCACCTTGGAGTTGAAGGGTTTTCGCCTTAGTATGAGTAAAATAGAATATATGGACTTTTACATTGATAGAGGCTAGTCAGTAGTTCTTTGAAGATTAATAGGTAAGATCATACCACAAGTGACCAAGTTTAGATATTTGCGAGCCATTATACAAAATAATGGTGAAATTGATGGATATGTGATGAGAGACTCTGCAAACTTGTTTAAGAAGGAGGAAATGTCAAAAACTGAAGTAAGGTATTTTTTTTTAATAGTTGTTGATTAACTCAAATTATTTTGAATATTTCTATTTGAGAGATTTTAGGAGTTAAGCAAAATAAGGAACCATATCTTTTATTGAAGTAGTTCGACATCTAGTTTGTCATTTTCTAGTTGTTGGAATTTGTTTCAGATATCTTAGGGATAATTCAGATTTTATTTAGTTATTTTGAAGGTATTTTAGCTCTATAAATAGGCTAGCAACTCAGAAGCTACTCATATTCTGAAATAAAAGTTCATTTTATCCCTTAGGAAATTCTCGAGGCTTCATACTGTACGGTGGATTAATTTTTGATGGAATGGGAATGAGACTAAGAATGGGAATAGGAATGAGATGGGGTTGGAGTTAAAAGCATGTTTGGTTTGTAGGTGGAATGATAATATAATTTTTATTACACATATAATTATATTAGTAAAATACCAAAATACCCCTATCCAAGAAGTATGCTCATCACCGTGCTTTCTTCTTTCTCATGGGGGAAATTTTCCTAAAACCAGCAAGAGATATATATCTAAAGGCGGAAATGATCCATTGCTAATGGACTATTAATATCATCACCATCACCATCCTTTTTGCGCGCACAAGCAAGTCACAGCAGCCATTGACATATCCCCACACAGATCATGCGCTTCAAAGAAATCTTTAATGAGTACGGATCTTGTAATTCTCCTTTATGTGAAATAAGCCTTGATGACAATCCTCAAAGAAATCTTTAATGAGCACAGATCTTCTAATTCTCTTGTATGTGAAACAATCCTTGATGACAAGTAGTAACTAGTAAAACAAGCAAACATGCACAAATATACACGGCCATTTGGAATCTTTTTGTACATCTGACTGGACATCAAACTTTGTAGGAGATGAGTGGTGAAGAAGAATGAGTGAAATAGAGTGCCGAAAAGTGAGCGATAAATCCAGCAAAGAAGCTGCGCTTTATGACAGAGAAGCAGAAGATTCAATTGAACACCATGAGCCGAAGAAGTCAATGACAGGGAGGGAGATTGATGGTGATTGGTGACCAGATTTGTGAGGTTGGCGACAGAGATGAGTGACTAAGGGCTTGAAAGATGAGCAACAGAGAGCTTGAGAAAGATGGATGGTGGAGGGCTTTGTTCTTGTGACTTTATCAGAAAATTTGAAGGTCATTTTGGTCATAAAATTTTCATTTATAGGAAATAACCCCCATTCCCATGGTAGTTGGAAGGATTGCTCATTTCCATGTTTGAGGGAGGCTTCCATTGCCAAGGAATAGGATTGTCTTCTACCAAACACACTAACTATGACATTCTCGTTCCCATTTCCATTCCCTTGGTTCATTCCCTCCTACCAAAAATGGTCTTAGTGTTGGTTATTAAGAGATTATAAAGTGAGATACTTGTTTTTTCATTCTTAGTAGAATTGTATAGCCTTTTTCTTTCTATCTGATGGAGCACTTACCAAGATGTTGCATGAAGAATACAATTTTGGCAGTTCAAATGGAGAAAAGGCTACAAGATTTATTTGTGATCAAAAAGTACCTAAAAAGCTTAAAGGGAAGATTTATTGCACTATTATAAAACCAACTATGTTATATGAGAGTAAATGTTGAGTTTTAAAAAGACAATAATAATATAAAGTGGGGATAGTAGAGACGAGAATGTTCCAATAGATGTGTGGGCATGCAGGGAAAGATAAGATTTGTAGCGATCATATATGAAAAGAGTTGGTGTAGCATCTATTATGGAGAAAATCATATGAAGTTGCCTTAGATAGTAAATGTTGGGCTTTAAAAATACAATAATAATATAAAGTTGGGATAGTAAAGATGAGAATGTTGAAATGGATGTGTGGGCATGTGGGGAAAGGTAAGTTTCGTAGTGATCATATGTGAAAAGAGTTGGTGTGGCATCTATTATGGAGAAAATCATATAAAGTTGTCTTAGATGGTTTGAATATATAAGAGGTTGTTGAAGGTGCCGCTGAGAAGGGTAGATCAATTTTGAGTCCAATAAAGAGGGGCAGCAAGAACATTTAAGAACAGAGAGAACAGTCAATAAAGTTATTAAAAGAGATCTTTTGGTTAACAATATATCCAAAGATTTTGTTGTTGATAGATCATATTGATATTGTTCAATCTATGTAGCTGATATCAACTAGTGAGGTAAAGCTGTTTGTTGTTGCTATTGTTGTATGGGTGCAAAAGTTAGTTAAATAGATGCTTTTTAACCACATGAAAAGATGTAGTGGGAGACTTTAAGGAAGTTTAACGGTGTCATGCGATCCATGTGACTAATCAATCTTAGTGAGACAAGGCTTGCATGTGTGTATATATATATAGATGGAAAATATCACCCTATAGTACATATGATAATTTTTATTGATAACAGGAGTGGAATAGACAGTGCATATCTCTCCCTCTCTGTTTTTTTTTTTTTTTTTTGAATTCTGTGTGTCAAATCGAACTCATGATGTGATAGTTGATGAGAGAATGCTCACCCTGACAGGCCACGAGCTCCATCGACATAGACGATTGCATATTTTATTTTTTATGCAATGGAAAGTTATTCCCTTCTCTTGGGGGCAACTAAACAGGGCATGTTAGTGTTTGGGGCTCACATTCTCTCTTACCCACTCTCTGCACGAGATACTGTCATGGTGTCAAGTGAACCACCTTGTATGAGAGAGTCTTGCTCACATTTCCTCATGTGGGTGTCTTGCTCATATATTCATTTGACAATTTGTTTTTCTTTGTAACTGGTTATTATTAGAAAATTGGGAACAGTCTTTTTCCCCAACTCTGTTTTGCAAAATTAATATGAAGTGGAGATCAAGTGTCGGCATGATTAAAGATGAAAATCTTCTCATTTCTGGTTTGGCTTTTCTGTTCCCCTACCATTTTTGCTCCTCTGAATGATTAAAAAAAGATAAAAATGTAGTATCATAAATGAACTAAACCTCTTCGTTGTTAGTATTTTCTTATATTAATAATTAAAAATAATTGCTTCCATTTGCAATATATTATGTATCGAACTTGTGTGGTTGAATCAACATGGCATATCAATTCATCTGTAGAGTTGAAACCTGTGTGCAGGAAATTTTGGAAGCTCGTGAGAAGGCGAAGCCACACATCTGGTATTTTCGGACCACAAAAGAATCTTCCGATAACTGGAAAAAGCTTTATGGTCATCTAGACAGAATTGATCCTGAAGATTGATGGCACTTTGCTGAAGACTAATTCACAAGCGGTAATAATTGTTATTTTATGACAACGAATTATCTGATCTCTTTTTGAATGTTATTTATTATTATTTTTTCACATAATTGTATGACTTTTATAACTTAGCATTATATGATTTTTTTTCAAAAAAAAAAAAAAAAAGAACTAGTATGGTACGATAACTTGTAAGCGACACCTTTTTCATGTTGTCTTGTATCAAGTGGGTCTGTTTAATTATCATCAAAAATATTAATTATATACAAGTACTCCTTTTGTTTCTATATATAAAAAAAAATTATATCACACAGTTTAAAAAATTAATTAACTATAATAATTATATTTTGAAAATAAATAAGATAAAAATTCCCTATGTTAATTACTATAAGCATGCATTAAGTGCTTGCTTTTCATTAATGTAAATTATGAAGGGTAATTCAAAAAATTTATAATAAATGTTTATTAAAATATATGATTTTGCTTATAATAAAAAAAATAAAAGTGATAGTTTCTCAAACAAATAAAAATGAGAGGAGTGGATTGCAGCAAATAGGGGACATGAATATGTAAAATGTGCCTGTTATATGCTGGTCTTGGCCGCTAGAGAATATTTTTGGGAAAATTAGAGGGATCTACTACTAAAATTTATTATAAAGAATCATAAAAATTAAATTTAGGGTGTAGGATCATGATAAATGTAATTGACTATTATGATCTTAATATAAAATCTATCAATAATGCCTTGATATTGACATGGGGTGTAGCTTTACAAGAGCATTCTTTTAAAAAAAAGGTTGTACAACTTTCAATTCCGCACACGCGAAGACAAAAAGGTAGTATTAAATTTAATTAAATCAATATAATTTTTTTAAAAATATTTACTTTTTAAATAATTAATTGAATATAATTTTAAAATATTTACTTTTTTAAAAAAATCATATAATTTAAAAAATATTTACTTTTAAAGAATTATTACATTTTGTTCTTTCATTGGTTTAAAAAAATGCTTTAGTGCAGCTTATCTTTTTAGAATTTAATTTAACATTATAGTGTAATGAAGTATAGTGACAATCAATCCATATCCACTTGTAATACAAATATTGTACAAACTGGAAAAGAATTGGATGCTTTTGACCAAATATTAGCAAACTAAGATGCCAATGAATTAAAAATGAGGAATTCATAACTCCTTACTATGTTAATAAGGAAATTTGGAAAATGCCACCGTCTTAATAGGGAAATTTGAACTAAAATGTTACAACACCAAATTGATGGTCAACAGCATACCATGCTCATAAAAATTCTTACTAGTTCTAAAAACAAACATTTAATATCAGACAAATTAAGTAACCAAAAATACATAAAGTTCGCATTTGACTTTTGCAGGGTATATATGTGTGATGCAAACCATCGAAGTTGCTAATGACCTTGCCTTATATTTTGTCTCCATCACTACAAAACTCAATTTGAACCTGGATATACACAATAGGATACAACGCCATTAGCAAGCAATAACTTATAATCTGTCACCATGCAGCTAATAAAGTAAATGATAAAATACAATGATTAAAATCTTAGTCTAATTAAGTAAATAATACTCCCTCTATTAAAAAATGTAAGATATTTTTAATTAAATTTTATTTAATAAAGTAGTTATTTGTCTTTAAATTAACTTTATCTTTTATATCTATCTCTATTTAATAAAGTGTTTTGATATAAAATAAATATAAAGTGATTTATTCAATAAAAATATTTTTGATAAAAAAGTAATGATTACACTTTAAAAGGTTAAAAATTTTACATTTTTTAACAAAGGGGGTAAAATATTAAAATAAAATCCAAATATATTGTTAGAGTTTAGAAAAAGCAAGATGATGATGATAATAATCATAGAAATCGACAAAATTGTATTTGGCAATGTTAATGATAAAAAAATAAAAAGCAAACCAGTATCAACTATATATACCCAAAAAAAAAACTCAAAGAATTGCAAAGTTATGAAAATACAAAAATTAACTTCTAATCATCTAATTGCATCAATGTGATCTATCAAACCAAACTCTTTTCCACATCATGGTATCCATGTAATTTTTTTTTTTGTGAGGACAACAAATAACATTTTTCAACGTTTGTGTAAACATTATCATATATTATTCACACACACACACACACACGCACGCGCACACATGCACACACATTTTACTTCTAATCTTAATTATCAATGCACTTTATGATAAATGAGAAGTAAATTTACATGAAGATTAGGTTAATAAATATAAGGATAAAATGGAAGATTTTTTTTTTAACATGTATTTGATTGATTATATTTTAAACTTAGACTAGCTGAAAACAAATGCTCATATTTAGATGAGGGAGAGTTTTTTTTTTTTTTTTTGGGTATTGTAGGACAAGCATGAGGGCATAGGATTCTTGTCATTTGCCAGCATGAAAAGTCCACTTTCTCAATGCCACATTAACATTGAAATCTTTACCACCTATATGAACAAGCGTTTGATATGGATCATAGTGTTCTGCTATCATTTTCAGCTCATGTAACATGCTCTTTAACTATAGCCTAAATCTTGGGACCAACCTTGTTTTCCCACTTTCCCATGGCTTCTGTCGTGGCATAAAACTTTTTAGCTAGCTTCTATGGATGCTCATTTATCAGCACACATACATTATCTCTCCTTTCTTTAACTATATACCCATACATTAAAAGATTCTGCAAAATTAGTGGGGTATTTTCTCAACAATTAAATGAAAAGTGCAATGTAGCCCACTTATCGACATCATCTTGTATCCCAGCCCATTTTGTTGGTGAAGAATTTTTTTTTTTGGTTAAGTTACCTTACAAGGCATGCCACAAAAGCAAGATAAAAACAAATCACATTACACCTAGATTGCAGGGCCCACACTATTATTCAGTGGATGTTAATTTTCTCTTAATGGCATAGGGTGAATTGAACCGTTTTTTGAAGTTCAGGGAAAGGAACGTACTAAAATAGAGTTTAGAATATTGGGTGCACTTGAAAGTATAGCTTGAAGGTAAAAATAAACTTTAATCATAATTAATAAGAGTTTACATTAATATAAAACTCTACCCTATCATAGATTTTCTTAGTGAACTTCTAAAATTCTAAATCTATAATTCCATCAACCTCATAAGAATCACTAAACTTCCTCCTATGATCTATTTTACTCAAATTCTCGAATTCCTCATTTTAGAGTCCAACATCCTAATTTCCCCAATCCACCAATTGCAACACTAATTAATATTCTAAACTAATTAAACATAAATTATAACCTAGATAAACTCATTCAAACCATTTAATCCTATACTAAACGGTATATCAATGTCCACATAAATCTCATCAATTTCCCAAAACCCTAACTCCAATCTTCACAAACAGATTAAATAGATTTATGATAGCATATTTTAATTGCCCATGTGTCAATCACTTGAGAAAACAGAAACAGGGAAAAAAGAAAAGGGGAGAAATAAATAAAAAGGAATTGTATATTTAAAAGGAGCGGACTTGACCTTACATAAAAGTTTAAAACCTATTTACTTTATCAAGGAGAGCAAGGTCCAATTAATTGAGATATAAATGTTTAATTGTTAAAAATATTTATTTATATTTTTTTTGGAAGATTTTCACTATATTTTTAAAGAATTTGGATTCAGTGAGTGGTGTGAATCTGCCCACTCAATAAGTGTTTTGTGTGGCATAATAACAATCCTTTAACTTAATTTTACAATTTTAAGAGATTTGATCATGTAATATTTAAAAAGTATTAAATATTAAATTTTTAGGGGATAACATATATGAAGAATGCTTTGATCATGAGAATTGTTTTAAATTAAGTATTGATGAAATTCAATAATTATACTTAATATACTCATTATATGAGTGAGCTTATGCCACCCATGCAATTTAAATCCACTTTTAAAATTTTTTTTATTGCATACAAGTATTTTATTGGATATAATTTTATTCAAGATATGATGAGATAATAAATGTAAAAATTTTTTTTAATAGAGATTCAAACTTTGTTTTGGTGCGTTATGAAAAATTAATTCCTTCAACTAGACTTGGACCTCTATTGTTCCATTTTCAAAACAATTTTTTTGTGCCTCTAATATCGACAAAGCCTTTATTGATCCACGTGGCACCCAATCAATAAAAAGTACCAGAAAAGGTAAGGGATCGGATCTCACACCAGCTTTGCTTTAGATAAAAGACATTAATTAACTATGAATAAATGACGAAATTATTTTTAAATTTTAAATTTAGTAGTATCATAGATTATGAACTTATTTATTATATAAATTATTTTTTAATTTTTAAAAATAATATAATCTAATTATTATGCTATTAGTAAAAGTTAACTTTAACAGTTCGTTGTTAAAAAAATAACCTAAAAAAGCCTTAAAAATTTATAAAAAAGGACCAAAAATTTTTTAGATCATTTTCTATAACTTTTGTGGATCTTTATCTGTAATTTTTGAGTTCTTTATTGTAACTTTTTAGCCTGCATTTATAATTTTTGGGATCATTTTCTAATCAACTAATAATCAAAACTAACTTTTATTAATGACAAGTGCCAAATTTCACTGTTTTTAAAAGTTGAGAAACAATTTGCATAATAAATTATTTCAAGATTTATGGTACTATTAATCTAAAGTTTTTAGGGATAATTTTCTCATTTGCTCATTAAATTTTGAAATATATATTTATTATCTAATTTATTTTTGTTGGCCAACTTATCATATGATTTATTGAGCTTTGTTGAGACATGTGGCATCTAATGTGTGCGAGTGCCTTCGAATAGGGCTGTACAAAGACTAGATGGGATTAGAATTCAACCTAACCCGAAGTATAGTCTCTTTCATGAAAAGGATTGGGTTAGTTAGACAATCCGTAGTTCATTTTGGTTTAGTAATAACTCAAAAATTAATAGAATCGGATTTGGTCTATAAGACTGGGAGACTGATTTATTAGGCTAATACTCATTTAGCTTTTTTTTTTCTTTTTCATGTATGAGAGACAATAATTTATTTCAATCTAATAAACTCAATTAAGATAATAAAAACACATAATCATAATAAATTCATAATAATTTCCAACAAGAAGAAAAAATATTTTAGTTATAGTCCAAGTGATTTAGAATATTAAGTTATTAGTCTGAACATGTGACTGTGCGGGAAACAGACTTATTTAATTATTATTAGTCTTAACTTATTATTATAAATAATTAGTAAATTAATTATAATCATATTAAATAAATTTAATAGAACCAAATTAGACTAAGTCATTCAAATGCCCAGTCTCCTTGTCTAATCTAACCTAAATAAACAATCTAATCTTTTTAGTCTTTTCAATCTTAAAGGATCAGTTTTTAATAGGACCAAACAGGATTGGACCTTCTTGAATTAGATTGAGTTGAACAATACTAGAGGACTTTGCATAGCCCTACCTCAAAGATGGAAGATCTTTCATGGGCCCTAGCTTTAATATTTAAAAAGTTAAAATTCATTGGTCCTAAAAAATTCTTAAAAGGAATAAAAGAATAATTTTCTAAAGAAGGGAGAGAAAGAAAAATGAAAGATCATGTTGAGTTCCTAAACAATACAATTAAATATTACAAGATTTATTAACCTCAGAACATAGCCAAATGAAAATTACTATTTTAATTATCATTTTGTTAGACTTAGAAGACGTTTGGTTGATAGAAAGGATAACAGTAGAATAAATTAAAGAAATAAGAATAAAATTAACAAGGTAAGTCTCTCACCTCATAGTAAAAATGATAAAATTTAATAACAAATACTAACTCCATTAAAAAATATAAATATTTTTAATCAAATCTCATCCATAATAAAGTAGTTAAATATATTTAAATTAACACCATATTTTCATAAATTACCCTTATTAAATAGTGTGTTTCGCTTAAAAATAAATGTAAAGTAATTTATTTATTAAAGGCATTTAAAAAAACACACATTAATTACATCTTATAAAATATTAAAAATATTTTATATTTTTTAACATACAATTCCTTAAATAATATCTTATAATAAATTACCTTCTCCCCTCATAAATATGATTTGCTCTTTTCTCATGAGAGCAAGGCCATGTTTATGGTTAGGCCATCAAGGCAACTGCTTTAAGTCTTAAAAACAAATGTTTGCTTATGCCTTATATAACCAATCATTATTTTTCATGTTAAGCATTAATATTTATAACATCTTTCCATTAAGAATTTATTGCCTCGCATTTCACTGTACTTATTATTCTCATTACTTGATATCAATTAATTTATTTTAAATGAAGATGAATTGAAATTTTTTAACATTAATCTTGAGAATTTTCTAAGTTTTAATGATGATTTTGATAGAATTGAATGTATTAAGAAAAATATTAATAGAAAAAATTAATAATCCAATTAAAATATTGATTATATTAAAAAACTAAACGCTTATTTAAATACATACATGTATATTAATTATGGAATATTTTTGACAATACTAATAACAAAATTTTAAGGATTTTGGATTTCAAATCCAAATTCTTCTCTTATTACAATTTCTTTCTAGTTTCAAATTTTTCTTATAACTTGATCATTTTATGTCTCAAATATTTTCATCTTAGGCCAAAACATCTTTAGAAACAAAAAAAAAAAAACAAAGAAAATCATCAACTTTGATTTCGGGGGGCCACAAATGATGATTCATGACGTTGAAAGCATCACATGCCAAACCATCATTAAATGAAGCAAGTTATAGAATAACATAAATTAGGCATAACTAGTGGGCGAGCTAGAGGAGAAGAAATAAATACGCAATTATATTGCCAACTCTAAAACCCCTAAGTTTATTAAGTGTTGAAGAGAAGCATGTTGAGAATTTGACAAGTGTATTTGAAATATAAAGGACAAAGAAGACTAATTAATATTGAAATTTATGATGCATATCTTATCTGATTCCTATTTACCACCCCTCCCATCTCTCTCTCTCTCTCTCTCTCTCTCTCTCTCTCTCTCTCTCTCTCCCCTTTCGTTTTTAATATCTCCGCCTTTTTTCTGCCATCATATCATTTTCTGTCCTCTGTATATAATTGCTCTTTTAATCTCTAACTTCTAGAAAGGCTTGAGCTAAGGTTCATATGAGATATGGTCATGAGATGTTAGGAAATCTTTAGGATTGTGATATTATTTAAAGTTATGGTCATTTTTTGTCCTCAAACTTTTCATATGGGATATGCATAGTTGTAAGTATCTTGAACTTGATTTTAGGTTATTATTATCCTGAAAGTTTTAAAATTTGACTCCTCATTGTTTTGCTGTTAAAGCACCGCTTGTTAATTGTTATTTGCTTAACTGGATGTTTTTTGTTAATTTTTTTGGGCCACATAGCACTCAAGTTAGGACATTGTGGTTATGCTTGTAAATATTTGAGGAGAAAATGACCTAAAAATTTAGTTCATGGACACCAGGTATTCTTAAGCAAATATTTCATGCGCAAAAGCAACCTCATTTATTAATTCTGATTGAATATTCACTTAGATGCCACATGATCCAAAAATAGTCAACAAAACAAGTTCAGCTAAACAAATAATGATTAATAAGCGACATATGAATGGCAAGACAATAAGATATTGAATTTTTAAAGTTCAAAGACAAAAATGATCTAAAATTGATTCAGGATATCTGCAGATCTTGCATGACATGCAAGGGCAAAAATAACCCTTAATTTTTATATTTTAAGATAATCCTTTGATATTGTCATATCATAGTTTCCTCGAGTTATTGGGGGATCTTGTGGATAAAAAATTTTTAGTATGTCTTTCATTATTTTCCATCACACCTTTGATCCCCTTTTGAATAGCTGGAGGATCATAATCCCAAATATTTGACACGCACCCACACAAATATATGGAGATTTTTATTGGGATAATGGAAGTCTAGTCTTTTAAATTTGCCTCAATAATTGATTTAGTTTTTCAAATTTATAAATTTGCCTTAGTTATTAATTTAGTTTTCAAGCCCAAAAAAATTATTAATTTGGTTCTTATTAGTCAAAGTAAAAATAAGAAAGTTAAAATTTACTAACATAGATAACAACATATCAAGTTAGCAATAGCAGCCATATAGATTAATAAAAATAAATGTAACTATTTAGGCAAGAAAAAAAGCATTTCACAAATTAAAATAAAACATTGAGTATGGAATTAAATTGATTTGGTGGTCACATGCTAAGTCATCAATTTATACTTTACTCATAAATTAATTATTTGAGAGTTGAAATGCTTTTTTTTTTTTCAAGTACGCTTCATATCAAGGATGACACAATGTTATTTCTATTTGTTTTTCCATATATTTTTCTAGTAATTTGATGTTATATTGATGTCATGCATGTAAGAGTCTATACTCTCTATACACCCAACACGTTCTGATAATACTAGTTCCTTCCTCTCTATAAAAAGGAAGCCACAGGCTTCCTGATCTTGTCATCCACACAATAAACAAAGTGACCATGGCATTATTCTCATCTTCCATGAGGGTTTGGCGTAGTGTGTTGTCTTTCATTGTTGCAGGTCTCAGCTATGGCGTCTATCACAGTACTGAAGCTTCTCACCATTATTCTCACCAAAATATTCATCAAACTCATTCCCTTTTCTCCAACAATCAACCTTATAGAACTGCTTTTCACTTTCAACCTCACCACAATTGGATGAACGGTTCTTACTTTTACCTATCTTTTACTATTCTGCTTGTAGCTTTCAGGTCCTATATATATATATATATAGAGAACCATATATATATATATATATATATGGTTCTGGTAAGTGGGTCAAGTTTATTCACTTAATGAGTATCTAAGGGAATACAATAACAACCGTTCAATTGAATTGAATAGCTAAATTGAACGGCTATAAGAAATTTTATTATATAATACTCAAAAGGGTTAATGGGCATTCTAAACCTGAAATTATTGAGCAAATAGCATCTTAAACTTTAAACTCTTAAAATGTGCAAAAACTCTTTTCAACTTTTAAATTTTTAGCTCTTGAAACCTCATTGTTAATTTAAAAAAATGACCATTATTTTTAAGGGTCAAGATGAGTGTTACATTAACATGCAAATAGACCCTACAATTACAAAAGTAACAGTTATTTTTCTAATTTAATGATAAAGTTTCATGCGTTTGAAATTTAGAAGTTAAAGAGAGCTTTTGTACATTTTAAGAGTTTAGAATCAATGATGTTATTTACATAGTAGTTCAGGTTTTAAAATGCTCATTAACCCTATTTAAAATGTATCAAATCTCAAATTTTTATAGGGGACATTATATGTGATAAGTGCTTTGATGGTGAGGATTGTTTTGAATTTTTCAAAAAAAATATATCTTGATAATTTCTAAGTATAGATGAAATTAAATAGTTGTAGTTGAGACACCTATTAAGTAAATAAACTTAAGCCACTTACCAAATTCAAATCACCTATATTACATGAAATTTGTGACTTCTAGATAGGAGGAAAAATAAAGGAAAAAAGGATGAAATTTGTGATTAAAATTTATGACAAAAATCAAGAAATATTCATTGCCAATTGATTCTACAACGAACTATAGTGTTATTTATACCATTGATAAATATGTCAGAAAAGTTTTCCATTAATTTTTTTGACATATATATTCGTAGGATTTTCGTTGCAGAATCTACTGCAAAAAATTTGGGATAGAAAATTTGTTCTTGCGTATATATATATATTCTTGTTTTCTTTTATTTCATCAAGAATTTTCTCTTTTGAAAAATCACGAATTTTCTGTTTTGTACTGCCGTTGTAGTGAATTATTGCTTACATGTATCGCACTGATGCCTCTTTATTTTTTTATCTTTCAGTTTTTTTTTTTTTTGGGGTTTCTTTCTCTGATTTGATTTCTAACCTTTGTTTCTTTTTTATTTTGCCCTTTGCAGATCCTAACGGTTAGTACTCTTCTAATCTCTCCTTAATTTGGATACTCAACGATTTTATTTTATTTTATTTTATTTTTGGATGAAGGGGAGGCTCATACAGCCTAAACATCAGAAAGAGCCAGAGAAAAATACTTAACTAGTAAAACAGCCAAAAAAAAAAAACGAAAAAACACAAACGACAGAAACCTAAGAGTATGTTTGGTTCTAAAAGAGGAGAGATGATAGTTTTAATATTATATTGTTTGGTTTTGTTAGAGAGGAGGGGAGGGGAGAGGAGGGGTTTTTAATGATCCTTTGTTTGGTTTAGGAGGGGAGGGGAGGTAATAACTAATTTACTATTATATCCATATACATTAATTTAAAAAATTTTTAATTATTCCTTATAGAAAATAATTTTACAGCTCAATTTAAATTGCATAATTTTTTAAAATTCACTCTCAGCCTATCATACTGTCAATATGTGAATAAAAAAATTAAACTAATAATTATAATGATAACAATTTTTTATAAAAAATAAATATAACTTCCTTAAATATATAATAAAATATGATGAATTATAATTTTTTTAAATAAATTCATAGAGATTAGTCAAGGTCTGAGAGTGAAGTGCAATCTAATATGAAGAAGATTTTTTTTAAGCTACGGGTATACTTAAATTATTATAAAAATAGATAAGGGCAAAATAGTTAAAAAAAAATTAGCTTCCCTATAAAAAAAACCTTAATTTAAAGAAGGCCAATATGAGGGGAGGGGAGAGGATAGGAGGGATTGTTTTGGCTCCCCTTCCCTCCAAAATTTCTCAACCAAATCCCCTCTTCCTTCAAAATTTTCCAGCCAAACAGACCCTAAGTGAAAAACAAAAAACACTCAAAAATCTTATATTTTGACGAAGAGAGAGTAAAGAAAAATATTATTATGGATGGGTTGCATGGCAATGAATTTTGTGATGTATTAGAACGAATAGTATTGAATATTGGAATGATTGATAAGTACTTACTATATAGGTAGATCCCTAATCAATATGCCAATTTAGTATTTTTCCTCAACTTCTTTCCTTTTGTTTTCTATTTTTTTGGGAACATGAGAAAAAAATTCTAAAAATTTGCACATCACGTATCGTGAAGTGTGATAATTATTATTTAATGTTTAAAAACTTGCTTGAAATTTTAATTTTTGACTATATGACATATTTCTGTCAATAACTATTATAAGAAATTATTACTTTAATTATGTTATTGATTAAAAAAAAACATAAAAATGACTACTTTAATTCTTTCTACAAATATTTTTTATCGATTAAGTGTAACTAAAGTAATCATTTTCAGAAAGGAAATGATCATTTTATAATCCATTTATACTAAATCACAAATTTGCAAGAAAGGAAGTGGTCATTTTCTATTTTGTTTTAATCAATAACCACCAGAACCAAAGTAGCTATTTCTTATAATAATCATTGAGGGTAGATGTGTTATTTTGTTAAAAATCAAAATACCAAACAAAAATATCTAAAAATTAAATAATAATTACCACGGTACTTAATTGTGATTTGTATTTGTATATTTTGATTAGGGATATCTTTATGTCAATTTCTCTTAGGGAGAATTTTGCTTAAGGGCCACCGTAAAGATTTAATTACTGGTGGATTCAAAAAAACTTTAAAATTTTAATTCAGCTCATGAGAGAAAAATTTAAAAAATTTTGACAATAAAAAAAATCAAAACACCCTTCACTTGTTATGCAGAATCACTAATTGTTAATTTTCTTACTCCACTTATTAATTTATAATTATGAGTTGCAAGTTGTATGAGTTAATATATCAATAATTATATAAGACTTGACATTAGTTGTTTAATCACAAGTAGTAATATTAATTGTTGAATTGTTAACTTTATTTGATAATTTACTAACATCAGTTGTAAATTACTGACAGGTTTTATAATTTGCTAACATCAATTGTAAATTATTAACAGGTCTTGTAATATAATTTATAATTGATATTAGTGAATTAATGAGTAAAGTTAGAAATTAATAACTAATATTACTGATTGTCTGGCAAACAGATGTAATTTATAAGTGATATTAGTAAATTAACAAGTGTAATAAAAAAATTAACAATTAATAATTTTACATAATAAGTGAAATATATTTTAATTTTTTTATCATCAATTTTTTTTTTACTTTTTCCTTTGAACTGAACTTAAATTTTATAATTTTTCTTAAACTCAATAATAATTAAGTTTTTACCTGATCCTCAACTAAAATTTTCCCTTTCTCTTGTCTGTTTTTTTCTATTTGGAAAAACATGAAATAATGAACGTGGGTGTGGATGCAGGACCAATGAGATACAAGGGAGTGTACCACATGTTCTACCAACACAACCCAAAAGGGGCGACATGGGGCAACATAGCGTGGGGCCACTCGGTGTCACGTGACCTCGTGAACTGGGCCCCACTACCACTTGCTCTCTCCCCAGCAGAGTCTTATGACATCAATGGCTGCTGGTCTGGTTCAGCTACCATCCTCCACGGGCAGGGACACAGTAATAAGCCTGCGCTGCTCTACACAGGCGTTGGTCCTAACCAGAAGCAGACACAGAACTTGGCTCTTCCTCTCAACCTCTCTGACCCTTTTCTAAGGGATTGGGTTAGGTCTCCTCTTAACCCTCTCATTGCTCCTACCTCTCTTACTCAGATCAATGCTACGTCTTTTAGGGATCCTACCACTGCTTGGCTTCCCCATGATGGCTTCTGGAGAATCTTAGTAGGTATGGACCATGCAGCATGCCACTTAGTTTTTTTTTTTTAATTCTATCTTATGGTTGTGTGTGTATGTATATAGTCACATTTTATAATTACATTCATCCATTTTTTTTGGCATTATATTTAGGATAACAGAGCAAATTAGTTCTTAAACAAAATGTTTGGGAGCATATGAGACTCTAAATTTAATTTTGGTGTAATGTTCTCTTTCAATTTTTGAAAATGATGCAACTTAACTCCTATTATTAATAAAAAATAACTTTGAACAACAACAACAACAAGCCTTATTCCATTAGGTGGAGTCAGTTATATAAATTATATGACGTCATTGTGCTCTATCATTTATTAAGTTTTTAAAAATATTATTAATTAAAAGGTTTTGTTCAATAACCTTTAAAAGTATTCTCCTTAGTCTTGTTCTACCCTTTTTGATAGGGCTTAATTTTTTAAAAGAAATTATTTTTTAAATAAAGATAAATTTAGAAAGTCATTTCACTTTTAGATTATTTTAATTATCTAACTGCCTCTCATTTGTTCTAACTTAGTGAGATAATTTGAAATAATGCCCCTGCATTTAGAATCGGAAGTAATATACCTTTTTTGTCTGTAAAGTGAAATTTTGAAAACATAAGGGATTCGAATTACAGAATACTTGTTAGTGTGATAAGCAGAGTGAGCAAGGGGCTAAAAGAGATATGATATAAGATATGCACAACTTAGTCAAGAATGTGACATCCATGCATGTGAGTTGTTGGGATTGGCTTTATACTTTTTGAGGTAGTGAAAATAGCATTTAGGCTCTATCATGGTAGATACACTGCTTCTTCTTCTTCTTTTTTAAGATACAATATCTAAATAAAATAAACAACTAGCTAGTTAATAATATGGGATCACTGCTTTTCAATTTCATCATCAACCACCTCTTTGCAATAAAGTAGTGGTTGATTATAAGTATAAAAATAAATATACTACTTGAAAAATTCTTGCATAGACCTAGGTCAAAACATCATCAATGACTTACCCAATAAAAACATGCTACACCATATAGTTTTAAATATAGATTGATGATACTATTGATAATAATAGAGAGAGAAAAGAAATGAAATTAAAGAGGCATTCCTTTTTAAAAAAGTCATTAAAAATAATATAATATTAGATTTTGTTTAATTGAATTGGTGCAACATGGCATTTTTTTTTATTGGACAAAGCATGAATATTCAAATTCATGCAAGGATATCTCTACAATACTCTAGTTAGAGAAAGTGCTGTGGTGATCAATAGCATTAGTTTTTTCCCACTAAACATTATATATGCATGTCAAGTAGAGAATTTCAATTAATGAATAGAAATGATTAATCAATAAATATTAGTCTAGTTGATAAATATTTGACTCATAACTCAAAAGGTTATGGGTTCAATCCCCCTATCAATATATATAAAAATTTTATTGGTGAATGATTTATAAGTACTTTTTAAACCTAAACCCAACCCGCATAAACTTTTTTTATATCAAAAAAAATTAGAAAGGATGGAAAATAAATGTTAAATCCAGTAGAATGGATGGATCTACTCTCTAGTACTTGAATCTAAAATTAATAGGGTTCTTTTTTTTTTTTAGGTACAAATTGATAGGGTTCTTTTCTTTTGTTGACTTTCTTAATTAATTATATAGATTTTGATAAAGTGTATCATGTTGTAGGGAGTCAGAGAAGGGACAGGGGAATAGCACTTCTATTCAAAAGCAAAGACTTTGTTCATTGGGTCAAAGCCAAACACCCACTTTACTCAGCCAAACACACTGGAATGTGGGAGTGTCCTGATTTCTTTCCAGTCTTCATTAATAGCACATTTGGTGTTGAAACTTCAACACTTCATGATGATCATTTTAGGCTCAAGCATGTTCTCAAGCTTAGCTTGATTGATCTTGCTCAGGATTATTACCTAATCGGGTCTTACAATGTAACCAGGGATAGCTTTATCCCGGATAAGGGATTCGAGGACACAGAATTATCCTCAATCTTGAGGTATGATTATGGCAAGTTTTATGCCTCCAAAACGTTCTATGATGATTCAAAAAGACGAAGGATTTTGTGGGGTTGGGTTAATGAATCTTCCGCTAAAAAGGATGATATCCAGAAAGGATGGTCTGGGATTCAGGTAATTTTTTTTTAATCATGCATTCATTTAAAAAAAATTATAATTTTCACAAGCATGTGACTTCTTTAAGTTTATATGTTTCATTATATTTTCATTTAATTGAATTAATAATAGGATATGTTAATAAATGTTTACCAATAAAATTGATGTGATATGCTAACATCTATCTATACTATACTTAATTCATCAATGTTAACGAAGATGATTCAAATGGAAGAAATACTAAATTTTGGTTCAATTAATTAATACTATGTTCCATTAATTACGCGAGCACTCACACACTCTTTTCTGTGTTCATTTGGCTCTTCAATTTATTTAATTTATAGAATATTAATAATAAATCATGTATATAATTTTAATTATAAACAACTAGTACAAAATTTCTATGATGAAAAAAAGAGAACTAAAATGAATGTAATTCTACATATATTGTGTTTTATTAATATATTGATATATTAGTTTTATTGCTCACAATTTCTATTTTATTTAAATTATAGATACCCCTTTTTAATTCAAAAATTCATATGAACTTTATCGAAATTAAAATGTATGTTATACAAACTTCAATTTTATTTTTAAAATTTTATTTCCATCCAGCCAATCATTAGTTTATCATTAAATTATGATGTTAATATTTTATTTTGACCAAAATGCCCCTCCTTAGCATAAATATTGCTTAAAAATAATTTGAACACTTACATGAGTGTAATTTATCATTAGAATTATATCTTAATAAATGCTATCATTAATTAATATTTTATAAAGCTATACGTTATTATTCTTCTTGACATTACGATAATTAATGTTCAGGTATCCCAAAACAGTATTATATAACGTACAATACTATGCTATAGCTTTTAAACGGTACGAACAATAATTTAAATATGTAATTAAGAAGTATATATATTAATAATAACCTAACTCTAAAATCTTACAAAAACAAGTATATATTAACTTTTAAGTTCTTCAATTATTTGATGAAGTGCTTGAATATTATAGGCAATCCCGAGAAGTGTTTGGCTGCATAAATCAGGAAAGCAATTGGTGCAATGGCCAATTAAGGAAATTGAGAAGTTACGAAGCAAAAACCCTCTGACGTGGCGTTCTAAAGTGCTTGAAGCTGGTTCTCTTCTCCATCTCCCAGGCGTTACTGCAGCCCAGGTCAGTCACTTCAAATCATCAATCAATAATATTTGTAATTTATGAATAATACATTTTTATATTAAATTTAATTATATATATATATATATATATTAATTAGGAAGAATGATAAATAAAATCCTTGTAAGCACATTGATATTAAATTAGAATTTTCTACATTATCGTTCTCAAATTTCAATATTCTTTATATTATGTTTCAGTATTAAAGTTCTTAATTTAATATTAATATTTTTATAAAACTTTTATTTGTCATTCTCCCTATTAATTATTTGAATAATAGTATAATATTTCTTCATGGGGCTGATGAGATCTTATTATTATATCTAAAAATTCAATGCCATTTGGTGCATAGAGTGTAAAAGTTAAGCTTTATACTGATTATATAAACTCTATAAGGCTTCATTGATGGATAATTGCAAATACTTTTACAAGTGTCAAGAATCAATTCATCAAATTTATTTTTTGAAAAAAGATATAAAAAGCCTTCTGATTTAATTGGAAAAATATTAAAAAGTTATAAAAAGTTTTCATTGATGGATAACTTGTTAGCCTTGGTACCTTAAAACTCGATTCATTAAATTTCTTCTTGTTTCACATTTTTTTTATAAAAAGCCTTTTGATTTAATTAAAAAAATTACAAAAAGTTATATTATTTATGCTTTAGGGTTTGTTTGGATTTCCATTTGAAAAAATTGATTAACAGAATGTTATGATATTTGAAAGACATTTTCTTAAATTGATTCTACAAAATTAATTTACTAAATGGAGGAAAAATTAGCTTCTTTAAAATGGAGTTTCATAAACTAAATAAAGTTTGGGAAAATTAGGAATAATTGGTTAACTTTTGCAAAATAGAATTTCCGAGAACCAAATGGAGTTTGGAAGAATGGGGAGTATTTGAATGAATTTTTTTTTCTAAAATCATGATTTTAGACCTCATATAATTAATTATAGAGGAGCATCCAAACATGTGGTTATATGCGAAAACAATGTAAAATGTGTCATATCAAGCGTTTTTAATTATGCAAATGCCAATGCTTACATCTTTAATACCTGTTTCTTTTTAATGGTGTAAAAAGCATAAAAAGTGTTTTTTTTTATTTTTTTTAGTAATGATTGTATTATAAAAAACTTTATATGATTGCTTGGCAAGTTATCAGTTAGTTTGGCCGTACCGAGATAAAATAAACGATAAGAAAAAGCAATTAATAATGAACCAAACATTGTACGTAGGAGCATGACAAAGAATAATGATTATATAGAAAAAGTATTGGGCGTGCAGGCAGATGTGGAAGTAACATTCAAAGTGAATGAGTTAGCAGAAAAGGCAAAAGAATTGAAGCAAATTGGTGGGAAGAGAAAAGTGACAGACCCACGAAGTTTATGTGGGGAAAAAGGAGGAATAGGACCATTTGGATTGTTGGTTTTGGCATCAAAGGGATTGCAAGAGCACACTTCAGTGTTCTTCAAAGTCTTCAAACTCAAAATTGATCACAACACCACCAAGTTAGTGGTGGTCATGTGCAGTGACCAGTCGAGGTAGGTACCACATTACATACCACTTGTTCGGTCAGGGGAGTGGTATATACTTGCATGCGCGTTTTGTAAGTATTGCTTTGTGTTCAATGAATTGAATCAATGTTTTTGCCTGGGACAGGTCTTCGTTGAACCATGAGAATGACTTGTCATCTTATGGTGCTTTTCTTGATGTGGACCCTCTTCACCAAAATCTTTCACTCCGCAGTTTGGTAAGTTCCACTGTCTATTAATACTTGCTAGCTAGAACCATGCATATATGTGTTTTGTTGAGTACATAAGGAATAATTTATCTTGTTTGATGGTTTCTCTCGTGGTTTAATTTGTATTTGATTACTTGTGAAAAGAAGGGGAAATAATAAAATCATATGACTTGTAAAATTCAACATCTCATTGTCTTGCCGTTTATGCATCGCTTGTTGACTGTTATCTACTTAAATGGACATGTTTTGTTGACTTTTTTAAGACACGTGACATCCAAGTTAGAATATGTGTAGTTAGGTTTTCTAATGTTTAAAGAGGGAAATAACCTCAAAAATCAAGTTTAAAATATCAAATGTTCCTAAATAAATACTTCAATAATAAATTATATATTAAAGTACTTAGATGACACATAAAAAGTCAATAAAACAAATACAGCTATAAGTAAATAACGGTTAACAAATGAGATGTGAATGGCAGGATAATAGGATATTGAATTTTTAAAATTCAAGGGCAAAATGACTCAAAAATGACTTTAAAATATTCGTAGACCATACGAATTTTTTTTACATCAATTATTACGTTTTTTTTTAAATCTAAACTATATAAATTTTATCTTCACGTACAGTGTAACTCAGCTCTGTGTGTGCGTGTGCGCATATGTAATAATTAAAGTGCTTATATACATATATATACACATGTAGATTGATCACTCAGTGGTTGAAAGCTTCGGAGGAAAAGGGAAAGTGTGCATCACAGCAAGAGTGTATCCCACTTTGGCAATCAATGATGAAGCTCACTTGTTCGTTTTCAACGATGCATCTTCCAATCTCAACGTCACTACACTCACTGCTTGGAGTATGAAGAAAGCACGTGTCAATTCCATAAATTAATATCTATGATATTATATTTAATCTCTTTTAATAGTACCTATTTTGATTTGGCTAACATATATATATATATATGTAGTTCCTATCATTAATTAATTAGCAATAAAATCTCTCCCTAGCTATTATGCACATGATATGCTATGTTTGGATTATTGGATACGTATATTTAGATTTGGGCCAAATCTCACATCTGGGCATTTAAAAAAATCCAAGTCCAAATTTATAATTTGAAATATTTTTTAATCCTCCTTTTTCCATATCTCTGTATGCTTTCTTAAAACACTACCCAATAGTAATTGCCTTTATTATTTAAACCACCCAAACAATAAAAGAATTTTTAAATACATGAATTTGAAATGCAAGATTTCAAATCTAAATCTATCAATCCTAAAACATCCTCAAAAACTAAACACCATTAACAATTCAATTCCATGGTAATTACGGGATTAACCCTTAAGGAGATTATCAAGTTATAATTTCAAAATAAAGGAATCCCAAGTTTTTTAAAAGTTGAAATGAGTCAAATTCATTCTTGAACTATTTAATCAGAGTAAAATTAAGTTACGAAAGAATGAGATATCTTAGATGAGTAAAAGAACTTGAAAATAGTTGAAAAACAGAGCAATACATGGCTTATTCACCCTATGCCGTGACTTATTACTTGCTGTGTCACACACCGTGGCATAGGCGCCAATGCACCGCGGCGTGTTACACACTTTCATGACAACAACTTTTGCTATCATTTGACAGCAAAATCAGGCAACTTTCAGCATGCCTCCATTTGATGTCCAAAGATATGATTTAGGTGTTTATAAAAAGCTTTTTTTTTTCATAAATTACCTGATGATATGAGTTTCACTTCCAAAACATATCAAACTAGGGAGTTAGACACTCAAATACATTTCTATCACTTTTCATAACTTTCACACATAAAAGGGAGTCCAAAACCCAAAACAAGTGCCAAAAGTCATTCTTAACACCCAAACTATATTTATTAGACTTAAGACTACTAGTACAACACACCACATGTACTCAAATACTAGTATAACATAAACTCACTTCTCAACTCCTTTAATACCAAAAATAGAAGGTAGAGGTAATTTCTTTGCATTGCATTAAAATCAATCACATTATGCTTAAAACAACTTTACTACACTTGCACTAGTATTTTAGCCTTATCAATATATATAGCTGAGCATACACAACTACTTAGAGCCCAAAATACAATCTTTATAATTTAAATAATTATGTAGTGCAAGTGTGAACAAAATGCATCTTAGAATTAGCGATGAAATTACAAAAAAACAATACTTAGAGGCCTACACTAGGGCATAGATTCCTGAGTCTCCAGAGCTTTATCCCTCTCTGTACTAGCGCTAGAGCCTATACAATGTTGAAGGAAATGGATGAGTCTATCTACTTAGTAACTAAGATAAATCTACACTATGTAGTTATATATTAATTGAAATAAAAAACAAGAGTATGAACAATAAATTTTCTTAAAACATGCATTAACACATAATTTCACATATACCACAACACATACTTACTCATCTAATTCACTTCCATTTAATCACTTGGTACATAATCACTAGACACTCAGACATGTGACCATAATCCAATATATTGACATGACTTACCACAATTGAATTGTGTGACACGTCATACAATCACATAAGTAATGATCAACTATCTTTATACCCTCCTTATTTCCTCTGATTGAAACTGTGAACTATAACACCTAATAGAATTCTATCCGTGCGATTGGACTACCTAAGCTCACTAATCGTAAGGTGTGACCTGACCAAAAATCACATGACTCACTCTTAAACCACGGCTTCCTTCACTCTTGAATCTCTGAGGTGTTGTATACCGTAAACTAATTTTCTCAATAAACTAGTGAAAGTAGCTAGGTTCTAGTCCCTCCACAAACTATGAGATAAGGCTATATCCTCATGCACTGAAGGGCAGCCAAAATACCATATCGATTTTAACTACTCTCATCCCTAGGCAAACTCCCTCCTATTGATCATGCCATGTATAATGCTCATTTAGTATTTACGATCTCATTTATTCATTATTAAAATGAACACATTAGGTTCATGACCATGCGCTACCCAAGTGAGTGTCATGTCTCATTTTCACACATATTTACTACTTTTAAACTCAACACATTCCTCTTTATCAACTCATCATTAACTATTTAGTTTCACATCACATTGCAATTGCAATTCATTTCAAAATCACTTTTGCAACTTTACAATTCATTTTGAAGCAATTGTGTAAACGCAAAGTTTCATTGCATGTTGTATACATTCACAAGTCACAATTCACATGTTAAACACATGTTTCACATCATATTGCAATTAATATACATTACCTAAAGTAGGGTTCCCCTAATTACCTCAAGTCTTTGAGAGGTCAAAGGTTTACCCCTTAATATTCTAAGCTTCTAAGTTTGATTCCCAAGTCAAAATGGTGTTCGAGAGCTCAATTTACAAATAACCAAGTTAAACTTCATCAACAATGTCAAACACACATCTCTCAACTCTCATTCTCCACTTCTGGATTATCTAATGCTCACATTGTTTATGTTTGGGCCTACTCATTGGGTTTATCAACTCTCTTTAGTCTCCAGTAACATTAATAAGTCATTAAAATTCTAGTAATGACATTACAACTTTCTCACCTACGCTCATTAATGCTAAATTTGCATGTTAATGAGGCTTCACAACCAAAGGCATCAAAACTCAATATTTCTAAGGTTATATACTCAAACTTACTCTCATTAACTTCATTTGAGTTAATGGATTCGGATCCATAACTTATATGAACTGAAAATCATCTCCCACTATCAAACCCTAACAAAAAACTTCATAAATGTGAAAGAAAATGAAAGATTAAGGTGTGTGATACTTATCTTTGGTGTTTCTAACTTCCAAAACATCCCAAATATCCTCTCAATATGAACCCTAACATAGCTCCTTGTTGGTTCTTTGTTTCCTCTTCCTTTCTCTCTATTTTTTTTTGCTTTAATTTATGACTATTAATCTATAGAAAATAGCTGTGTGCCACATTGCATGCTGCACTCGCTATGAAGCATGGCACAGAGAGATCCCCTTTCACTTCAGTTGTGTCTGTGGGCCGTAGCAGACATATTTCACACCACTGCGTGTGGCACAAAAGCACTTCATCCTTGTTTTCTTTTCCTTTCGATGTTCGATTGGCCTAACTTCACATTGGACCCATAATTAAGGCTAAAACACAACCAAAATCAATCATTAAACCTCCTTAGTCACATACCGTATCAAGTTACTTAATTATCATAACTAAGCTTAGTTAATTTGGGGATTGAAATTCAAGATGTTATAAATCCAAACACTACCTTAGTTAATTTTTGACAAACCACTTTTTCTTATAAATAAGGGTCTTTGGTTTAAGTTTACATTTTAGTTTACTTTTCTTTTTGTTGCATTTTGTTTTGCATAATTAGTTCATTAATGAAAGTATGATATTTTCTGCCCTTTTTCTAATATTGCAAAACAAAAAGTAACAATACATCCAAAAGATGTTCTAGTTTTTTAGTTCTTCAAAATAATTTTTAGCTCTTTTGTTTATTAAAATAGGTAATAGGAAACATATTTTTAAACAATTTTTTTTTTCATTTTTTGTTTCTTGAAAATTAAAATTGTTCTAAAAATAGACAATTGAACATGCCCATAATGCTAATTGTCTTCATTAACCACTAAAAAAAATAGTCTATTGGACGAGCTTGGTAAATCAAGTTTATTTTAGTTAAGGTTGAGAATATGAGTTGGGTTATAAATTAATATTTTGATATATTTAGAATGTATCATGAAGGAATATTAAATTGAAATTTATTATTTGATTGTATTTTTTAAAAAAATTCATAAAAAATTAATAAATTAATAATTGGGTTGACGAGTTAGCCCATTTAACTCACCAACCTTAAAAAGTTGGGTTGAGTTGAAATTTTTTAACCCATATAAAAATTAATTGAACCTAACTCAACGCACATTTTTTTCAACCCATATGGTTCAGGTGGTTCCATATGCCCACCCCTAATCCTAATCTTGGTTATGACTACAACTTGATAGGATGAATCCTTAAACCAAAAATTATATCTCAAGGAACTTTCAAACCAAACTTAGGGTTGATAGCTATCTCGGTCTAATTTAATTTTGGTGAAACCCTAATTGAAGTCTAGATTGAACTATAGTTGATATATAAATTTTTGTCCAATATTTTAAAAATTGGATTGGACTAGTCAATTTAATTAGTCAAATCAGGAATTGGCTCTTAATTCACTACTACAAAAAAGGTAATATTGGATGGTTCTTTTTGCCTATATTAGACTGTTATAAACCGTTCAATATAACATCATCATATATTGGTAAGACAAATATTGGACAGTTCAAGAAAATGTCCAATATATTGATGAAAGAAGTGAGAACTATGAAGGATATATTAGATGGTTAACTTTAGAATCATCTAATATTCTCAACTATATTGGACGGTTATAGTCACAACCGTCCAATATATTGCATAATATTGAACGGTTTTGATTATAACCATATAATAAATTCCTTATATTGGATGGTTTTTGTCAATAACTGTTCAATATATTTAATTTTTTTTATAATAGGGAGGCTACATTTCTTACAGCCCCCTGCAACAATGCAATGCAAATAAAATGTCCAGTCCATTCCAAACTTATACCAAACTAAAGCAATTATAAGAAACTAATAATTTTATTAAAAAACAAATATGTTTGCTATACAATTGCTCATTATAATACTAAGGAAAAAATAAACTATTACAAATTAAAATATAAATGAGAAAAACTAAAATAAATAAGGTCCAGCTCACTTATTTTTAGCCCATAGTTGAAAAATATATTCATACCATTCCTCAATAACTTTGTTGATGTGACAGTCCGTGAATTCTTCACAGTACGAATCAGGATAATACTGTAATAATGTAATATGATAACAATATTAATCAATTATTTAAGGAAATTAAAATTCATAACCTTATATAATTGAATTTGAATAACATACATACCATAGCGGGAATTAGGATCGT